TGATAAAAATTGGACAGTTCAATTTTTTTCTTCTTCATTGAATTAGAGATTCACTCACCATCAGAAGATCWGAAATAATCTTCAATATATGTATGTTCTGGACTTCAACAGTCTCCTCATCTCCTGGTTTCTAACAACCAATAGCATAGATCATTAGATACAGAATGTTTGGGGGTTCTTTTCATAAGTAAGGGACACTAACTGTACTTACTTGGACAAATCGAATGTTACCAATGTGAAGCACTGCTGACAATGCTTTGAATATCCTGCAGTGTGAAAAATGAATGAATGAAAGCATGAGAAAATGAAGGTTCTTGCAAATGAGTGACTAATAGACTGACTGACTGACTGACTGTCTATTTGTCCGTCCTGCCAATCCGCTGTGTACTTACCTCTCTTGTACATCAGTGCTGAACCCAACCATGTCCATTGAYTGCTTGAGACGCAGGTACTCATAACACTCATCTATTCCTTCTATGGTATAACATTTACTCTAAAAACACAACAAAGAGAGTTTTCACTCGAACGTGACAAGGTGTACCAAACAATAGAAACTTTCTGCACAGTTTTTGCATAGATAGAGTTCAATTCCCCAATAGAAAATGCATTGTTTTGGCCAATGGTACACCAATATGCCAGCTGTGATATCACATGAAAATGCTCTATATTTTATACTTAGTACAATATATTCATACTTAGTAAAGGCATGTGGAATGTGTTTCCAATTTTGATTACAATTCTGTCAATAGTACAGTAAGTCACCCTCTACATTTCTCAAATGAAAGGGAAACTTCCATTTACTTTTACGCTTTGGTGTTTTGACAGCATCAAATCACCAAATTCCAATCAAAATTTTAATGTGCAGTTCCAGAAATTATCCAAACCCCCCTCCTCCCATAGAGGAATTATTTTTCAGACCCCCCTCCCTTACCCCCAGAAATTCCAATTTTCTTCCATACAAACTTTGTAATTTTGTTCTTTCTTTGACCCCCCTACCCCTCGAAAATTCCAAATTCCTCTGTGGGGGAGGGGGTGAGGGGTGTATGGATAATTGTTAATACCTGGTTAAGATAGTAATAATCCTGGGGATCTGTGAGGTACAGTGCTTCCTTAAGCTCTGGTGGTGCTCCAGCCAATAGATAATAAAACACATGATAATTTCTATAAAAAAACACACATGTTGAGGAAATTTTAAGAAAATTATTAGTTGGTAGAGTGTTGGTGGTTACTGATTATTGGTAGGTTATTGATTATTGATGGATTTTAGGTAGGTTATAGGTAATGTGTTTACTGTTTATTGGTAGGTTGTTGGTAGGGTGTTGGTAGGTTATTGGTAGGTTGTTGGTAGGGTGTTGGTAGGTTATTGGTAGGTTGTTGGTAGGTTATTGGTAGGTTGTTGGTAGGGTGTTGGTAGGTTATTGGTAGGTTGTTGGTAAGGTGTTGGTAGGTGGTTGGTAAGGTGTTGGTAGGTGGTTGGTAGGATGTTGGTAAGGTGTTGGTAGGTTATTAGTAGGGTGTCGGTAGATTGTTGGTAGGTTATTAGTAGGGTGAGAGTAGATTGTTGGTAGGTTACAGATAGGATGTTGGTAGATTGATGGTAGGTTATTGGTAGGGTGTCGGTAGATTGTTGGTAGGTTACAAATAGGGTGTTGGTAGATTGTTGGTTACATTATTGGTAAGGTGTCAGTAGGGTGTTGGAAGGTTATTACTATAAGGTGTTGTGAACAAAAAACCACACAAGAAACTAACCTTTCTTCGGGAGCTTGAGAAACAATCCTTGATTTCTCAAGTAAATATTTCCTTAGTTCAGCACTACACACAAGAAGGAAAACCCATTATATACATGTACTATTATTATTATTACAAAATATTAAAGTAATTGATTACTTGAATACTCCTGGGAATAATATTATGTACTTATTGACTGAGTGGGAGGGCCGTACGGGAAAATATTTGGCTCGAGGTGATGCTGTACAAATGACCGAGAGCCAAATATTTTCCCATACGGCCCAATCTATCTCAGTCAATAAGCATTTTATCATATGACCCTCACTAAAACGAAAATAATTTAAAAAAAGAAAGTGCACCGACTCAAGCAGGGCCGGATGGATTTTTCCGGCCCGCTTACGTCAACCCGTCCGGCCCCCATCACGTGACTTTTTGCAATGGTTTTATTAGAGCGCGCGAGCAGGGCCGTA